ATAGGCACTGAACCTTCTTCCCGCTTTCACAGGTAGCCCTTGAAATTCACTAGCAGTATGGGGTAAGGAAATTTCTACTGACTTTAACTGTGCTATATCTATTCAATGGAATGGCCTTTAATCTGTAGTGTAGTCAAATCTGGCACCATCCACACACAATAAAATTAACTTTAAAAACTATTCAGGAATATAATAATAAATTTACTAATGTAATGATACTTTTGCCAGAAAAGCAGTAGACATTCTGCATTCTTGCAATCACTTAATTTATTTTTAGTGCCCATGAATTTGGCAGGTTAGTCTGCAACAAACACTAAAAATAAGTTAAATAAAAAACAAAAAGGATGTACTACTAATGAGGGCCCAATATGATGATATACATCACTCAATTAAAGCAATTATAATTTGATAGCATCAGCTATAATATGTAATTAACCAGTCTCAGCAACTGCTACATTTTTCTCTTTTTTTTAAACCAAGAATAACTTCAATGGATTATTAAATATATTATGTAAGCATCATGGAATGGACTCTGGAAGAATGATTTTCATAGATTTTCATGGTTGGAAGGGACCTCATAGATCATCGAGTCCAACCCCCTGCCCTGGGCAGGAAAGAGCACCAGGGTCAGATGACCCCAGCCAGGTGCTTGTCCAGTCTCCTCTTAAAGACCTTGAGAGCCTATTCCAGATTCTGGTCACCCTTACCGTTAAGAAGTTCTTCCTGATGTCTAATCTAAATCTGCTCCATTGTTTCTAGGTACCCTGAGGGGTGCTCTGGTAAATAGAGTATCTCCTATTCCTTGCTGCCCCCACCCCGATGAACTTATAGACGGCCACAAGATCACCTCTCATCCTTCTCTTGCGGAGGCTGAAGAGGTCCAGGTCCCTCAATCTCTCCTCGTAGGACCTTACCTGCAGGCCCTTAACAATAAGAGTAGCCCTCATCTGGACCCTCTCAAAGTTATCCACATCCCTTTTGAAGTGCAGCACCCAAAACTGCATGCAGCACTCCAGCTTTGGCCTCACCAATGCCACATGGAGGGGAAGTATCACCTCCTTAGATCTGCTCGTGATGCACCTGCTAATGCATGACAGAGTGCGGTTGACTTTCATAGATTTCATAGAGATTTGGGCTGGAAGGGACCCCGGAGGATCATCGAGTCCAGCCCCCTGCCCCAGGGGCAGGAAGTCAGCAGGCACTGCCCAGCTGGGGTGGTATACAGGACAGAGGCACAGCTTGTGGGGAGGGGGCGGATCCCACCACTGCTTGCACCCCGGGAGGGCATGGCGGGGTGGGGGGGGTGCCACCGGATCTGTGTGGGGCAAGTGGGTGGGCTGCAGCCTTGGGCT